CACAAAGACCTCTTTAGCCTTATCTAATACTGTTCACTTATATGTTTCACTGTAAACACCTGGTCCACACACCCCCTACCTTTCCTAAAGCCTCCTTGTTCATCTGCTATCCTATTCTCCGTCTTACTCTTAATTCTTTCAATAATAACTACCATACACTTTACCAGGTATACTCAACAGACTTATCCCCCTATAATTTTTGCACTCTCTTTTGTCCCCTTTGCCTTTATACAAAGGAACTATGCATGCTCTCTGCCAATCCTAGGTACCTTACCCTCTTCCATACATTTATAAATAATTGCACCAGCCATTCCAAAACTATATCCCCACCTGCTTTTAACATTTCTATCTTTATCCCATCAATCCCGGCTGCGTTACCCCCTTTCATTTTACCTACTGCCTCACGAACTTCCCCCACACTCACAACTGGCTCTTCCTCACTCCTACAAGATGTTATTCCTCCTTGCCCTATACACGAAATCACAGCTTCCCTATCTTCATCAACATTTAACAATTCTCAAAATATTCCCTCCATCTTCCCAATACCTCTAACTCTCCATTTAATAACTTCCTCTCCTATTTTTAACTGATAAATCCATTTGTTCTCTAGGCTTCCTTAACTTGTTAATCTCACTCCAAAACTTTTTCTTATTTTCAACAAAATTTGTTGATAACATCTCACCCACTCTCTCATTTGCTCTCTTTTTACATTGCTTCACCACTCTCTTAACCTCTCTCTTTTTTCTCCATATACTCTTCCCTCCTTGCATCACTTCTACTTTGTAAAAACTTCTCATATGCTAACTTTTTCTCCCTTACTACTCTCTTACATCATCATTCCACCAATCGCTCCTCTTCCCTCCCGCACCCACTTTCCTGTAACCACAAACTTCTGCTGAACACACTAACACTACATTTTTAAAACCTACCCCATACCTCTTTGACCCCATTGCCTATGCTCTCATTAGCCCATCTATCCTCCAATAGCTGTTTATATCTTACCCTAACTGCCTCCTCTTTTAGTTTATAAACCTTCACCTCTCTCTTCCCTGATGCTTCTATTCTCCTTGTATCCCATCTACCTTTTACTCTCAGTGTAGCTACAACTAGAAAGTGATCTGATATATCTGTGGCCCCTCTATAAACATGTACATCCTAAAGTCTACTCAACAGTCTTTTATCTACCAATACATAATCCAACAAACTACTGCCATTTCGCCCTACATCATATCTTGTATACTTATTTATCCTCTTTTTCTTAAAATATGTATTACCTATAACTAAACCCCTTTCTATACAAAGTTCAATCAAAGGGCTCCCATTATCATTTACACCTGGCACCCCAAACTTACCTACCACACCCTCTCTAAAAGTTTCTCCTACTTTAGCATTCAAGTCCCCTACCACAATTACTCTCTCACTTGGTTCAAAGGCTCCTATACATTCACTTAACATCTCCCAAAATCTCTCTCTCTCTCCTCTACATTCCTCTCTTCTCCAGGTGCATACACGCTTATTATGACCCACTTCTCGCATCCAACCTTTACTTTAATCCACATAATTCTTGAATTTATACATTCATATTCTCTTTTCTCCTTCCATAACTGATCCTTCAATATTACTGCTACCCCTTCCTTTGCTCTAACTCTCTCAGATACTCCAGATTTAATCCCATTTATTTCCCCCCACCGAAACTCCCCTACCCCCTTCAGCTTTGTTTCGCTTAGGGCCAGGACATCCAACTTCTTTTCATTCATAACATCAGCAATCATCTGTTTCTTGTCATCTGCACTACATCCACGCACATTCAAGCATCCCAGTTTTATAAAGTTTTTCTTCTTCTCTTTTTTAGTAAATGTCTACAGGAGAAGGGGTTACTAGCCCATTGCTCCCGGCATTTTAGTCGCCTCATACGACACGCATGGCTTACAGAGGAAAGATTCTTTTCCACTTCCCCATGGACAATAGAAGAAATAAAGAAGAGCAAGAGCTATTTAGAAAAAGGAGAAAAACCTAGATGTATGTATATATATATGCATGTACGTGTCTGTGAAGTGTGACCAAAGTGTAAGTAGGAGTAGCAAGATATCCCTGTTATCTAGCGTGTTTATGAGACAGAAAAAGACACCAGCAATCCTACCATCATGCAAAACAGTTACAGGTTTCTGTTTCACAGTCATCTGGCAGGACGGTAGTACTTCCCTGGGTGGTTGCTGTCTACCAACCTACTACCTGCAGTAAACTTATTCCGTTATAATTTTTACAGTCTCTTTTGTCCCCCTTCCCTTTATGTAAAGGAACTATACACGCTCTTTCATACATTTATTAAACAAAAATACCAACCACTCCAACACAATATCCCCCCTACTTTTAATATTTCTGTCATGATTCTCTCAGTTCCTGCTGCTCTACCCCTTTTCATTCTATGTAGTGCCTCACGCACCTCCCCCACACTCACATCATGCTCTTCTTCACTCCTAAAAGATGTTATACCTCAAGAATAACCCGTACATAGAAGAGAGGAGCTTACAACAATGTTTTGGTCTGACTTGGACCATTACAAAGTCACACTAACAAAAAGGAGAGGAGGGAGTACATGTAGGCAGGAGGTGGTAGTAATAGAGGTAGAAGGTAGTAGTAGTGGGGAAGGTAGTATGGAGGAGGAGGAGCGAGTCAAATACTAAGAAAGCGGAGCACTGCAAGGGAGCTAGGTGCCCACAGAAGGCAAGAGCAAGAACACAGAGGGGGGAAAATAAAATAAATAAATGTAGATGGATGGTTCAGAGAACTGACATGTTGATAAATTAGACACATGTGCAACTCTTGGGTATCTTTATTGAGGAAACGTTTTGCCACACAGTGGCTTCATCAGTCCATACGTAGGAGAAACTTGAAGAACAGGAGGAGAATGAGGTCATCAGTCCCTCAACCTTGAGTCGATGTGTTCTGTCCATCAATCTTGAGTAGAATACGGCATATGAGCGAAGAAGCAGCTTATAAACGTATGGCAGGAGAGGTGTAGCAGTCATAGGTGGTGTCACAGTTGTTCAATGTGGAAGTAGGTCGTGCCCAAGAATTAGGCAAGCGACACTGCAACTTCTTGGGATCTTAATACTTAGTAATTCTTCGCTTGCCTAATTCTTGGGCACGACTTACTTCCACATTGAACAAATGTGACACCACCTATGACTGCTACACCTCTCCTGCCATACGGTTTATAAGCTGCTTCTTCACTCATATGCCGTATTCTACTCAAGATTGATGGACTGAACACATCGACTCAAGGTTGAGGGACTGATTACCTCATTCTCCTCCTGTTCTTCAAGTTTCTCCTACGTATGGACTGATGAAGCCACTGTGTGGCAAAACGTTTCCTCAATAAAGATACCCAAGAGTTGCACATGTGTCTAATTTATCAAAATAAATAAATAAATAACTCATGAAGGAACAAATACCCAGGGTAGAAAAAGACAACCCAAAGGAGAAAAAGAAAAGAGGGAGAAAAAGGAGGAATTAGGCAAGTCACGGGTGTTCTGAAGTTTGGATCATTTTATAATGTAGTGGGAAAAGACAGCGTCTACGGAGATGAAGCCAGGACTAAGATTCATACAAGGAAAGTTGTGTATTAGGGAGAATTCAACCAGATGGCTACTGTTGAAGTTGTAAGTAGGGAAGACAGTTTTAGCAGAAGACCAGTCGATAGGATGACTGTGATCCCTGACGTGACAGAAAAGAGCATTGTTAGTGTCAGCAAGCCTAACACTACTTTTGTGCTCCCTAAGTCTGTCAGAAAGAGAACGGCCAGTTTCTCCAAGAGGACAGGAGGAACAAGAAATAGAGTAGACACCAAGAGCATCTGTAGAGGGAGGAGAGGTATTAGTGCGAAGAGTGTTACTTTGGTGGAAAGTAAGTTTGACGTCTAAGGAACGGAGAAAGTCGTCGAGATTAGAAAGGCCGGAAATGTAGGGAAGGCAGAGGACAGAAGAGTTCCAGGAGTAGAGAGTTTGGGAGAGAAGAAATTACGTTTAGCATGTGAGAAGGCAGAGTCTATGAAATGGAAAGGGTAGCCAAGACGGGAAAACGAATTATGAAGAGTGGAAATTTCTGATTGAAGGAACTGAGGATCACAAATGCGGAGCACACGGAGAAAGAGGGAGATAAGAACCCTTTTCTTGACAGAGGAAGCATGATAAGAAAAGTAGTGAATGTACATGCCACTGTGCATAGGCTTGTGGTAAATGGAAACGGCAAAACCTGTATCTGGTCCAAGTCGGACCAAAACATCACTGTAAGCTCCTCTCTTCTATGTGTGGGTTATTTGTGTATCATTCCAGTCACAGTATTGTGTTTTTTTTTGTTATTTATACCTCCCTGGCCAGCACATGAAATTACCACCTCCCTTTCATCATAAACATTTAAAAGCTCCTCAAAATATTCCTGCCATCTACCCAATATCTCCAGCTCCCCATCTACTAACTCTACTCTGTATTTAACTGACAAATCCATTCGTTCCCTAGGCTTTCTTAACTTGTTTATCTCACTCCAAAATTTTTTCTTATTTTTAGCAAAATTTGTTGCCAGTGCCTCTCCCACTCTTTCATCTGCTCTCCTTTTGCACACTCTCACCACTCTCTTCACCTTTCTTTTACTCTCTATATACTCTGCTCTTCTTACAACACTTTAATCTTTAATCACACCCTTTACTTCATCATTCCACCAGTCACTCTGTTTTCAATGAAAGATGGAAAAAAATCTGTCTATAAAATATTGATAAGAGATGAAGGCTATTAAAAATATACAATGGGAAATTCACAAATAAAAGAAAGCATTAGCAAAGCAACAGAATATCACAGTGGCAGAATAAAATACTGGGATCCAAGAGGAGGAAATATGTGGAATCATTAAATTATATGAACTAAAGATGGGTATTTACAAGCATAGCTCTGCTCAGTAACTACAAAAAGGTCAACATTCATACACTGAAGAAGTGCAGTACAAACCTTTCCCCAGCTCTCCTCACAGTCATGGGCTTCTTTATAACCTGGCAAGATGACTTCTCCTTGTCAACTGTTGCTGCTGCTGTTGTTGATTCAGTCATGGGTACTGAAGCTGGTGGTGGATCCTCTGAATTTAATGCACTAGAGTCTACATTCTCTTTTATATTTTCTTTAATTTTTTCTCTGTATGGAATTCCAAGTTCATCTTTAGAAAAGGACATTAAGGAACAATAACCATCAGTTGAGGAAACGACAAGGATGCGACCATCTGGGGACCTGAAAGAAACAAAAGTCAACTAAGAATAAACAAACATGCTGCACACAGTAAATCACAGACTAATCATCTACTTGGGTCAAATCTTAATCAACAGTAGTAATAGCAGTAGAGTGCATATATAAAACTACCCTTGATCAAAACTTACATTGGTTAAAGAACTTGGCATTATTTTTTTAACACTGACCATTCATCAAGGTAAGGCGACCTGAAAAAAAAAGCACGCATGTGCACTCCCCCTCTAGTTCATCTTTCCTGTTGTCTCTCTATCTCTTTCACCCATCTTGTACCCTCCATGGTTCAAAATTTAGGGACCAAAACTAGAGAGCACATTCAAGGTGTGATGTCACAAACGTATCAGAACGCATTAATAATCTTTGGGTGATTTATAATGAAAATTATTACTATGAAGGCCAGCACTGTTTGCTTTATCATGATGGTTCAGTTTTACTAATTCCAGGCCAAGCTTAACCACCATTCTTGCAAGCTCAACAACACTTGAGATATTTGGGAAAATTCAACATATTTTAATATTCGATTAGACCAGGAAATAGAGGTGGGAAGAACAGTGCCTGCGCTCTGAAGGAGGAGTGAGGATATTGCTGTCAGTGGGTAATCTAATTATGATTTCAGAACATTTCAGGCAAAATGTAAATAAAATGATGGTGAATGAGCTTCCTTCTTTGGCTCACCCTAACTTTGTGGAAAATGGTCATTGATTAAAAATAAAAGTCTGATAAAGTATACATCTGAGGAAGGACAGACTTATCTAAAAGAAAAGAATTTTTACCATTATGGAATGTTTATGTATTATTCAAAATGTAAAGTGTCTCCATTCAGTTAATTTAGATGCAAACTAGTAAAATGAAAAAAAAGTGGAAAAAAAATGCACTCAACATTTATATACAGCACAGGCATAAAAACAGACATTTGGTTCACTCTTACCAGGTTACATCACTGAGTCGAGTGTAGTGAATATTGGAAACTTTAGCAAAGGGAACCGGCTGCTGAGTATCATAGAGTAGAACTGCATTCTGAGTAGCAACAGCAAATATCATCCTATAAGGCAAATTAAACAAGTTCGAGTATTCCTGCCATTGTTCTCGAGGCTCATCCTGAAAATCAAGATTGTGATTTAGCATTCATAACATATTCAGCATCAAAAGTAAGAACACCACATAATATTACAAACCACTTTTAAAAAATATAAAAGAACCACATTCACAAGATGTATTTATATCACTGTACAGTCCAAGAAAGGCATTCCTGTGTTCCCTAAGCCCAGCCCCCTCTACTTCAAAACATGCAAAAATAAGAATACAGAATGCAAGATAAGTTTGTAATGCAGTTAAGTGCTTCCAAAACTTTCAATAAAAATTGCAAACTGACACTTACACAGACCAGCCTTGAAAATTTAAAACTAACCATAATGAATGAATTTGTCAGTTAAAAACAGTAGGGGAGTTAGTAGATGGGGAGCTGGAGGTATTGGGTAGATGGCAGGAATATTTTAAGGAGCTTTTAAATGTCATTGAAGAAAGGGAGGCAGTAATTTCATGCACTGGCCAGGGAGGTATAACTTCTTTTAGGAGTGAAGAAGAGCATGATGTGAGTGTAGGGGAGGTGTGTGAGGTATTGCATAGAATGAAATGGGGTAAAGCAGATGGAACTGATGGGATCATGACAGAAATATTAATAGCAGGGGGAGTTACAATGTTGGAGTGGTTGGAATTTTTGTTTAATAAATGTATGAAAGAGGGGAAGGTACCTAGGGATTGGCAGAAAGTGTGAATAATTCCTTTATATAAAGGGAAGGAGGTCAAAAGAGATTGTAAAAATTGTAGGGAAATAAGTTTACTGAGTATACCAGGAAAAGTGTATGGTAGGATTATTATTGAAAGAATTAGAGGTAAGACAGAGAGAAGGATTGCAGATGAGCAAGGAGGATTTAGAGTGGGTAGGGGATGTGTAGATCAGGTGTTAACACTGAAGTATATATGTGAACAGTATTTAGATAAAGGTAGGGAAGTTTTCATTGCATTTATAGATTTAGAAAAGGCATATGATAGAGTGGATAGGGGAGCAATGTGGCAGATGTTACAAGTGTGTGGAATAGGTAGTAAGTTATTAGATGCTGTAAAGAGTTTTTATGAGGATAGTGAGGCTCAGGTTAGGGTGCGCAGGAGAGAGGGAGATTACTTCCCAGTAAAAGTAACTTTTAGACAGGGATGTGTAATGTCACCATGGTTGTTTAATATATTTATTGATAGGGTTATAAAAGAAGTAAATGCTAGGGTGTTGGGGAGAAGGGCGAGATTAAATTATGGGGAATCAAATACAAAATGGGAGTTGACACAGTTACTTTTTGCTGATGATACTGTGCTTTTGGGGGATTCTAAAGAAAAGTTGCAAAGGTTAGTGGACGAATTTGGGAGGGTGTGTAAAGGTAGAAAGTTGAAAGTGAATATAGATAAGAGTAAGGTGATGAGGGTATCAAATGATTTAGATAAAGAAAAATTGGATATCACATTGGAAGGAAGGAGTATGGAAGAAGTGAATATTTTCCGATATTTGAGAGTCGACTTGTCAGCGGATAGGTTTATGAAGGATGAGGTTAACCATAGAATTGATGAAGGAAAAAAGGAGAGTGGTGTGTTAAGGTATCTGTGGAGACAAAAAAAAGTTGTCCATGGAGGCAAAGAAGGGAATGTATGAGAGTACAGTGGTACCAACATTCTCATATGGGTGTGAAGCATGGGTTGTAAATGATGCAGCAAGGAGGTGCTGGAGGCAGTGGAGATGTCGTGTCTAAGGGCAATGTGTGGTGTAAATATGCAGAGAATTTGTAGTGTGGAGTTACTAAAAGTATTAGTCAAGAGGGCTGAAGAGGGGCTGTTGAGGTGGTCTGGTCATTTAGAGAGAAAGGAACAAAGTAGAATGACTTGGAGAGTGTATAAATCTGTAGGAGAAGGAAGGCTGGGTAGAGGTCGTCCCCGAAAAGGTTGGAGGGAGGGGGAGTAAAGGAGGTGTTGTGGGCAAGGGGCTTGGACTTCCAGCAAGCATGCGTGAGCGTGTTAGATAGAAGAAAATGGAGATGAATGGTTTTTGGGACCTGATGAGCTGTTGGAGCGTGAGCAGGGTAATATTTTGTGAAGGGATTCAGGGAAACTGGTTAGCTGGACTGGAGTCCTGGAAATGGGAAGAACAATGCCTGCACTTTAAAGGAGGGGGGTTTGGGATATTGGCAGTTTGGAGGGACGTCTAAACCATCGTGTCTGAGTGCCTCTGCAAAGACAGCAAGTATGTGCAAGTGATGGTGAAAGTGTTGAATAATGATGAATGTTTTTTCTTTCTTTTTGGGTCACCCTACCTCGGTGGGAAATGACCGACATGTATAAAAAAAAAATCAATAACAACAAATGTTTATTTGAACAAAATCCACCAGCACCAAGTTTAGAGTTACCAGATGTTTCATTGCAAAGTTATCAGAATTGAAGTCGATTGTAAAAAAGCATTAAAAATTTCTTTTAACACAAGAGACAACTCCTACTAAGTTAGGGTAACCCAAAGGAAACAGCATTATCATTTTTTTTTTTAGCAAGTCGGCCCTCTCCACCGAGGCAGGGTGACCCAAAAAGAAAGAAAACCCCGAAAAAGAAAATACTTTCGTCATTCTTAATAGTTTTGCTTCACTTAAAGCCAGGACATCCAGCTTCTTCTCATTCATAACATCCACAATCATCTCTTTCTTATCATTTGCACAACATCGATGCACATTCAGACTTCCCACTTTGATAATTTTCTTCTTCTTATTCTTTTTAGTAATTATTACAGGAAAAGGGGTTACTAGCCCATTGTTCCTGGCATTTTAGTTGACTTTTACAACATGCATGGCTTACAGAGGAAAGATTCTTATTCCACTTCCCCATGGATATAAAAGGAAAAGTAATAAGTCCAAGAACTATTAAGACAAAATCAAAGAAAACTCAGATGGGTGTACATGTATGCGTAGTGTGACCTAAGTGTAAGTAGGAGTAGCAATACGTACCTGTAATCTTGTATATTTATGAGACAGACAAAAGACATGAGCAATCCTACCATCATGTAAAACAATTACAGGCTTTCGTTTTATACTCACTTGGCAGGACGGTAGTACCTCCCTGGGTGGTTGCTGTCTACCAATCTACTACTGCTATTTAATAGATATCCTGCTAGAGGTACATAAATATCACAATTAAGAAACCACAGTCTCTTGTCATTCTGATCTGACATGCTCATACAAGCTTGCTAGATACTCAAGACCCAACACTCAAAACTTCCTTTACTACCTCCTACCAGCCTTTCCTGGTACAACCCTAACCAATCCTTTCCATTCCTGATTTATACACCCTCTTGGTCATCCTACTCAGCTCCATCATCTCTAATGCCCACACCACCTTGCCTCAGCCCTCTGAACTACAGTCTATCTTTGATAATCTCTCACCATTGTTTAATTTTTCTTACTGGTTACAAACCATGCTGAGCTTTTATCCATTTACATACAAATTTCTTGTCATATTTATTGAATAATTTTATTTTGTGTACATCTTTAATGTCTTTATATTTTTTTTTTTTTTTTAACAAGTTGGCCGTCTCCCACCGAGGCAGGGTGACCCAAAAAAGAAAGAAAATCCCCACCGGTGGCCTGGTGGCTAAAGCTCCCGCTTCACACACGGAGGGCCCGGGTTCGATTCCCGGCGGGTGGAAACATTCGACACGTTTCCTTACACCTGTTGTCCTGTTCACCTAGCAGCAAATAGGTACCTGGCTGTTAGTCGACTGGTGTGGGTCGCATCCTGGGGGACAAGATTAAGGACCCCAATGGAAATAAGTTAGACAGTCCTCGATGACGCACTGACTTTCTTGGGTTATCCTGGTGGCTAACCCTCCGGGGTTAAAAATCCGAACGAAATCTTATCTTATCTTATCTTAAAAAGAAAATGCTTTCATCATCATTCAACACTTTCACCACACTCACACATAATCCCTGTTTTTGCAGAGGTGCTCAGAATACAACAGTTTAGAAGCATATACGTATAAAGATACACAACATATCCCTCCAAACTGCCAATATCCCAAACTCCTCCATTAAAGTGCAGGCATTGTACTTCCCATTTCCAGGACTCAAGTCCGACTATATGAAAATAACCGGTTTCCCTGAATCCCTTCACTAAATATTACCCTGCTCACACTCCAACAGATCGTCAGGTCCCAAGTACCATTCGTCTCCATTCACTCCTATCTAACACGCTCACGCACGTTTGCTGGAAGTCCAAGCCCCTTGCCCACAAAACCTCCTTTACCCCCTCTCTCCAACCCTTTCGAGGACAACCCCTACCTCGCCTTCCTTCCCCTATAGATTTATATGCTTTCCATGTCATTCTACTTTGATCCATTCTCTCTAAATGACCAAACCACCTCAACAACCCCTCTTCTGCCCTCTGACTAATACTTTTATTAACTCCACACCTTTTCCTAATTTCCACACTCCGAATTTTCTGCATAATATTTACACCACACATTGCCCTTAGACAGGACATCTCCACTGCCTCCAACCGTCTCCTCGCTGCTGCATTTACCACCCAAGCTTCACATCCATATAAGAGTGTTGGTACTACTATACTTTCATACATTCCCTTCTTTGCCTCCATAGATAATGTTTTTTGAACAACATATACCTCAATGCACCACTCACCTTTTTTCCCCTCATCAATTCTATGATTAACCTCATCCTTCATAAATCCATCCGCCGACACGTCAACTCCCAAGTATCTGAAAACATTCACTTCTTCCATACTCCTCCTCCCCAATTTGATATCCAATTTTTCTTTATCTAAATCATTTGATACCCTCATCACCTTACTCTTTTCTATGTTCACTTTCAATTTTCTACCTTTACACACATTCCCAAACTCATCCACTAACCTTTGTAATTTTCTTTAGAATCTCCCATAAGCACAGTATCATCAGCAAAAAGTAACTGGGTTAATTCCCATTTTGAATTTGATTCCCCATAATTTAGTCCCACCCCTCTCCCAAACACCCTAGCATTTACTTCCTTTACAACCCCATCTATAAATATATTAAACAACCATGGTGACATTACACATCCCTGTCTAAGACCTACTTTTACCGGGAAGTAGTCTCCCTCTCTTCTACACACCCTAACCTGAGCCTCACTATCCTCATAAAAACTCTTTACAGCATTTAGTAACTTACCTATTCCATATACTTGCAACATCTGCCACATTGCTCCCCTATCCACTCTATCACATGCCTTTTCTAAATCCATAAATGCAATAAAAACTTCCCTACCTTTATCTAAATACTGTTCACATATATGCTTCAATGTAAACACTTGATCTACACATCCCCTACCCACTCTGAAACCTCCTTGCTCATCCGCAATCCTACATTCTGTCTTACCTCTAATTCTTTCAATTATAACCCTACCGTACACTTTTCCTGGTATACTCAATAAACTTATTCCTCTATAATTTTTACAATCTCTTTTGTCCCCTTTCCCTTTATATAAAGGGACTATACATGCTCTCTGCCAATCCCTAGGTACCTTCCCCTCTTTCATACATTTATTAAACAAAAGTACCAACCTCTCCAACACTGCTTTTAACATTTCTGTCATGATCCCATCAGTTCTAGCTGCTTTACCCCCTTTCATTCTACGTAATGCCTCGTGTACCTCCCCAACACTTACATTCTGCTCTTCTTCACTCCTAAAAGACGGTATACCTCCCTGACCAGTGCATGAAATTACCGCCTCCCTTTCTTCCTCAACATTTAAAAGTTCCTCAAAATATTCTCGCCATCTACCTAATACCTCCCTCTCCCCATCTACTAACTCCCCTACTCTGTTTTTAACTGACAAATCCATACTTTCCCTAGGCTTTCTTAACTTGTTTAACTCACTCCAAAATTTTTTCTTATTTTCATTAAAATTTCTTGACAGTGCTCTCCCACTCTATCATCTGCTCTCCTTTTGCACTCTCTCACCACTCTCTTCACCTTCTTTTACTCTCCACATACTCTGCTTTTCTTATAACACTTCTGCTTTGTAAAAACCTCTCATAAGCTAACTTTTTCTCTTTTATCACACCCTTTACTTCATCATTCCACCAATCACTCCTCTTTCCACCTGCCCCCACCCTCCTATAACCACAAACTTCTGCCCCACATTCTAATACTGCATTTTTAAAACTATTCCAACCCTCTTCAACCCCCCCCCCCACTACTCATCTTTGCACTAGCCCACCTCTCTGCCAACAGTCGCTTATATCTCCCCTGAACTTCCTCCTCCCTTAGTTCATACACTTTCACCTCCCTCTTACTTGTTGTTGCCACCTTCCTCTTTTCCCATCTACCTCTTACTCTAACTGTAGCTACAACTAAATAATGATCCGATATATCAGTTGCCCCTCTATAAACATGTACATCCTGGAGCCTACCCATCAACCTTTTATCCACCAATACATAATCAAACAAACTACTTTCATTACGTGCTACATCATACCTTGTATATTTATTTATCCTCTTTTTCATAAAATACGTATTACTTATTACCAAATCTCTTTCTACACATAGCTCAATTAAAGGCTCCCCATTTACATTTACCCCTGGCACCCCAAATTTACCTACTACTCCCTCCATAACATTTTTACCCACTTTAGCATTGAAATCCCCAACCACCATTACTCTCACACTTGATTCAAAGCTCCCCACGCATTCACTCAACATTTCCCAAAATCTCTCTCTCTCCTCTACACTTCTTTCTTCTCCAGGTGCATACTCGCTTACTATAACCCACTTTTCACATCCAATCTTTATTTTACTCCACATAATCCTTGAATTAATACATTTATAGTCCCTCTTTTCCTGCCATAGCTTATCCTTTAACATTATTGCTACTCCTTCTTTAGCTCTAACTCTATTTGAAACCCCTGACCTAATCCCATTTATTCCTCTCCATTGAAACTCTCCCACCCCCTTCAGCTTCGTTTCACTTAAAGCCAGGACATCCAGCTTCTTCTCATTCATAACATCCACAATCATCTCTTTCTTATCATTTGCACAACATCCACACACATTCAGACTTCCCACTTTGACAATTTTCTTCTTCTTATTCTTTTTAGTAATCTTTACAGGAAAAGGGGTTACTAGCCCATTGTTCCCAGCATTTTAGTTGACTTTTACAACACGCATGGATTACGGAGGAAAGATTCTTATTCCACTTCCCCATGGATATAAAAGGAAAAGTAATAAAGTAATAAAACCAAGAACTATTAAGATAAAATCAAAGAAAACTCAGATGAGTGTGTATAAATAAACGTGTCCATGTATGTGTAGTGTGACCTAAGTGTAAGTAGAAGTAGCAAGACATACTTGTAATCTCTTATATTTATGAGACAGACAAAAGACACCAGCAATCCTACCATCATGTAATATGTTTACCATCTTTTAGTCTTAATTTTAAGCTTGCCTAAAATGCCCTGCATAACCATGTGCAATATTATTTATATGTCATCCATATTTGTAAAAATGATGCATTATGTGGAAATAATGTATTGGAAGTTGAATTTGAAATTTAGATATACAAATATAAGCCTACCCTTACCAAAACTGTGAAGAACAGACCAAATTTACATCTCACATTTTTTTATTAAACTATGTAACTAGTCATGAGAGAGATGAACCTGGATCAGCCTACTCACATGGCACCCTGTTATTGCATGAGAAGCAAGCATTATCAGGCCTTAAAACTTACATTTAGTGGTTCATCTTCACGTGGTATGGGCTTCAACTCGAACAGAATTGGACAGAATCTCACAGCTAATGTGTATTTATCTTTAGTGGGAAGATAAAGTACAGGCCTGTAAGAAAACTGGAAGTAAACATTTATGATAAACAGAAATGCCAATGGAAGATACTTATTAATAATCAAAAAATTAAAAAAAAAATAATGTCATATTTTATAAGGTTTTCAATAATACCTTTACAGTGAATAACCAGGATAAATTACAGTACAGTACTGTAGTATGTATTCATATTTTCTACAAAAATAGTGATAGTGCCCTCACTGGATGTGTACAGCACATTCACTAAGAAGGAAACTAAGTAAATTTTGAGAGTAACTTTAAGAATTAAGTGTGGCAGTCTACCAGTGTGTCCATTAGACATGCATAGCCCTGCCTGGAGGTCATTTATCTAGAGGCTCAAGACTAAAGAAAAATCAATACCAACCACTAGCAGCAAGACTAAGTAAAGGTTTTGGGAAATCAATGCACAAAGTCTCACAATGAAAAATATATGGACCTTTAAAAGAGAATTGAGCTCTGTATTATGAAAGTAAAAAATTAATAAATTACTTAATGTAAAAGGAAAAACTTTTTTCTTTCTAGGTTACCCAGTCTCAGTGGAATGCAGTAGGTGTGTTGAAAGATGAAGAAAAAAGAAAGAAAAAACATAACTGATCCAAATTTAAGACTAGGAAAAAGATTATCAATATCTGATAATTGACTTCTGCAATAAATCAGACCTATCACTTTTTCTTCCATGCATAAACAGTATAATAAATTTATATAATTTATCAGCAAAATTCATACTAAATCTCTTAGCATTTAAAAAAAAAATTATGCAGGTCCTAAACAAAAGAAACAGATGGTACTCTTAAGATAAACATATCTCACTTGGAGAGAGCATGGCGAGAAAACACGTAGGCGACATTAGTTATTTTTCCATTATCGTCTTCTACAATGCCAGAGGGTGTCACTAGGAGCTCCCCGTCTGGTGAGAAACTGAGCCGGCGGCAGAAGGACTTCAGTGTGTCATCGTAGAATAATCTTGTAGACTGTGGATAAATATATTTTTTTTAGAAATTATCAAATATTTCTCACTAAATGAGAAAAATAAACTGTTAATAGTGGGTACATTTTTATCAGAACAAAGTATACCCGAGCCCCAATACACTTTATAAAACACTTACCGCTTGTTTTAAATGAAATAAACTAAGTAACCCTACTCACCCTTACTCATTTCCTAGCTGTCTTCCCATAATACTGTCAACACAATTTTAAGGATTCACCAAAATTTATCATTCCTACCATTCCTCTAGAGTTCAGACACTGCATTTACTGGTACAAATTAAGAAAAGCTAACCTGTTTCCCCTGAATCCCTTCACAAATTGTTCTCTCAAACAGCATATTAAAATCCTGAATAACATTTGTTTCCTCTCTCATCTAACATTCTCACACATACTAGTACCTTTTTTTTTTTTTAGCACAACTGCCATTTCCCACCAAGGCAAGGTGACCCAAAAAAGAAGAAACTTTCAGTTTTTTTTTTTTTTTTTTTACTAATTTATACAGAAGTGGTTACTTACCCCTTGTTCCCGGCATTTTAGTAGCCTCTCATGAAACACGTGGCTTAATGAGGAAGGATTCTTTTCCATTTCCATAAAATCAACTAATATTGTTACCCTATTCTAATTTTTATCAAACTGTGTTATCTAAATTATACAATAAGTATAATGATTTTTTTATTTAAGTGTCAAACACTGAGCAATGCAAAGTGAGAAATCACAAGCACAGACATATAAAATACAGGTAAGAGAGAACTGTATATTTCAGCCTTGGATAGAGGTCGATATAGACCAGCTTCAGCAGATGAAGAGGGAGGTCAGGCCACAGCCAGTGAAACACCCAGCAACAGTTACCAGCAGATAGCATCTACTCCCATGACTAAAAGCGCAGGAATAGCAACACTGAAGAAAAAACGAACTAGTGACATGAGTATTATGAGGAACTGCAACCTTAACAGTAATGAAGTGATATCTACAGCACTAACTGTGTTGTAAGAACTGCAAGAATGAGTGATAACTACCAGAGTGTAGGGTTGTTAATTAAGATACCAGCTGAAATAACAGATCTTCAGTTTCTTTAGTGACGATTTATTCTGACGAATTCTGTGCTCTCTCAGTCATCCAATACAACTTTCACTCCAAGTAGACCGGAGCCATCCCTTACACGCATGCATGCATGCAAACACACAAGCACATACTGGAGTATGCAGCACCAGTTTGAAACCCACACCAGGTCAAGCACGTCAAGAAATTACAGAAAGTGCAAAGGTTTGTGACAAGGTTAGTTCCAGAGCTAAGGGTAATGTCCTACGAAGAAAAGTTAAGGGAAATTGACCTGATGACAATGGAGGACAGGAGGGTTAGGGGAGACATAACCACATACAAAATACTGCATGGAATAGACAAGCTGGACAGAGACAGTATGTTCCAGAGAGGGGACACAGAAACAAGGGGTCACACTTGGAAGTTGAAGACTCAGATGAGTCAAAGGGATGTTAGGAAATATTTCTTCAGTCATAGAGTAGTCAGGAAGTGGAATAGTCTAGCAAGTGATGTAGTGGAGCCAGGAACCATACACAGCTTTAAGACGAGGTATGATAAAGCTCATGGAGCAGGGAAAGAGGACCTAGTAGCGTTCAGTGAAGAGGTGGGGCCAGGAGCCGAGTCTCGACCCCTGCAACCACAATTAGGCGAGTACAATTAGGCGAGTACACACAAAAAAAACATATATGTATGCTTGTACATGTATGTGTAGTGTGACCTAAGTGTAAGAAGACGTAGCAAGACGTACCTGAAATCTTGCATGTTTATGAGACAGAAAAAAAGACACCAGCAATCCTACCATCATGTAAAACAATTACAGGTTTCTGTTTTACACTCACTTGGCAGGACAGTAGTACCTCCCTGGGCAGTTGCTCTCTACCAACCTACTACCTTTCAACACTTCTTTCAACACACCAGCCGTATCCCACCAAGGCAGGGTGGCCCAAAAGGAAAAACGAAAGTTTCTCCTTTTACATTTAGTAATACAGGACTCCCTCAACATTCACATTTTCAGCTTTCGCGGGCTTCACACATTCGCGAATTCCCAACCGCCAAATCATATTCAAGTTTCCCGCCACCTGCGAGTCCCTACTACCCTCCCACCGACCCCCGCAACTGGCAGCCAGCCCTCCCACCACTCAGTGTGGTGAGTGTTTTGTTTGTTCATTATTTGCTATTAAACTGCAGTATAAATAATGTAAACCCATTCATGACTGCATATTGGAATGGTTATTCGGACAGGTATTAGACGGTGACATGTGTTTACTCTTGAACACAGCAAAGAATCAAACGTTTCTGCTACTGCTAATAATAACAATAGTAATAATAATAATAATAATAATAATAATAATAATAAATACGATATAATTGAAGAAGGAAGTTGTACAAAAATACGAGGGAGTGGTTGACACATCGTCAGTGTGGCTTTGTTTATGCTGGAGTGAGCATTAGTCTCCCTGCTCTAATAAACATTTCACAATAATTCATTGTGTTTGGTACTTGTAGATTGAGTGCGACTGGAGTGGTAGAGGCAGCTGTTGAGGCAGCTGTTGAGGCAGCTGTTGAGGCAGCTGTTGAGGCAGCTGTTGAGGCAGCTGTTGAGGCAGCTGTTGAGGCAGCTGTTGAGGCAGCGATTGAGGCAGCGATTGTGGCAGTGGGTGAGGTAGCGATTGAGGCAGAGGGTGAGGCAGCTGTTGAGGCAGCGAATGAGGCAGAGGGTGAGGCAGCTGTTGAGGCAGCGATTGAGGAGTGGTTGAGGCAGTGGGTGAGGCAGCTGTTGAGGCAGCGATTGAGGCAGTGGGCGAGGCAGTGGGTGAGGCAGCTGTTGAGGCAGCTGTTGAGGCAGTGCATGAGGCAGTGCATGAGGCAGTGCATGAGGCAGTGCATGAGGCAGCTGTTGAGGCAGCGATTGAGGCAGCTGTTGAGGCAGCGATTGAGGCAGCTGTTGAGGCAGCTATTGAGGCAGCTATTGAGGCAGCGATTGAGGCAGCTGTTGAGGCAGCTATTGAGGCAGCGATTGAGGCAGCTGTTGAGGCAGCAATTGAGACAGCTGTTGAGGCAGCGATTGAGGCAGTGGTCACTGAGGCAGCTGTTGAGGCAGCGGGTGAGGCAGCTGTTGAGGAAGCGATTGAGGCAGCTGTTGAGGCAGCGATTGAGGCAGCTGTTGAGGCAGCAATTGAGGCAGCTGTTGAGGCAGCGATTGAGGCAGTGGTCACTGAGGCAGCTGTTGAGGCAGCGATTGAGGCAGCGGGTGAGGCAGCTGTTGAGGAAGCGATTGAGGCAGCTGTTGAGGCAACTGTTGAAGCAGCGACTGAGGCAGTGGGTGAGGCAGTGGTATTTAATAACATACATGTTATTAATAATAATAATAATACATGTTATTAATATGTACTATTATAGGTAGTAGGTTGGTAGACAGCAACCACCCAGGGAAGTACTACCGTCCTGCCAGATGACTGTGAAACAAAAACCTGTAACTGTTTTGCATGATGGTAGGATTGCTGGTTTCTTTTTCTGTCTCATAAACACGCTAAGATAACAGGGATATCTTGCTACTCCTACTTACACTTTGGTCACACTTCACAGACACGCACATGCATATATATATATACATACATCTAGGTTTTTCTCCTTTTTCTAAATAGCTCTTGTTCTTTTTTATTTCTTCTATTGTCCATGGGGAAGTGGAAAAGAATCTTTCCTCCGTAAGCCATGCGTGTCGTATGAGGCGACTAAAATGCCGGGAGCAATGGGCTAGTAACCCCTTCTCCTGTATACAATTACTAAAAAATAGAAGAAGAAAAACTTTATAAAACTGGGTTGCTTAAATGTGCGTGGATGTAGTGCGGATGACAAGAAACAGATGATTGCTGATGTTATGAATGAAAAGAAGTTGGATGTCCTGGCCCTAAGCGAAACAAAGCTGAAGGGGGTAGGAGAGTTTCAGTGGGGGGAAATAAATGGGATTAAATCTGGAGTATCTGAGAGAGTTAGAGCAAAGGAAGGGGTAGCAGTAATGTTAAATGATCAGTTATGGAAGGAGAAAAGAGAATATGAATGTGTAAATTCAAGAATTATGTGGATTAAAGTAAAGGTTGGATGCGAGAAGTGGGTCATAATAAGCGTGTATGCACCTGGAGAAGAGAGGAATGCAGAGGAGAGAGAGGATTTTGGGAGATGTTAAGTGAATGTATAGGAGCCTTTGAACCAAGTGAGAGAGTAATTGTGGTAGGGGACTTGAATGCTAAAGTAGGAGAAACTTTTAGAGAGGGTGTGGTAGGTAAGTTTTGGGGTGCCAGGTGTAAATGATAATGGGAGCCCTTTGATTGAACTTTGTATAGAAAGGGGTTTAGTTATAGGTAATACATATTTTAAGAAAAAGAGGATAAATAAGTATACAAGATATGATGTAGGGCGAAATGACAGTAGTTTGTTGGATTATGTATTGGTAGATAAAAGACTGTTGAGTAGACTTCAGGATGTACATGTTTATAGAGGGGCCACAGATATATCAGATCACTTTCTAGTTGTAGCTACACTGAGAGTAAAAGGTAGATGGGATACAAGGAGAATAGAAGCATCAGGGAAGAGAGAGGTGAAGGTTTATAAACTAAAAGAGGAGGCAGTTAGGGTAAGATATAAACAGCTATTGGAGGATAGATGGGCTAATGAGAGCATAGGCAATGGGGTCGAAGAGGTATGGGGTAGGTTTAAAAATGTAGTGTTAGAGTGTTCAGCAGAAGTTTGTGGTTACAGGAAAGTGGGTGCAGGAGGGAAGAGGAGCGATTGGTGGAATGATTTATGTAAAGAGAGTAGTAAGGGAGAAAAAGTTAGCATATGAGAAGTTTTTTACAAAGTAGAAGTGATGCAAGGAGGGAAGAGTATATGGAGAAAAAGAGAGAAGTTAAGAGAGTGGTGAAGCAATGTAAAAAGAGAGCAAATGAGAGAGTGGGTGAGATGTTATCAACAAATTTTGTTGAAAATAAGAAAAAGTTTTGGAGTGAGATTAACAAGTTAAGAAAGCCTAGAGAACAAATGGATTTGTCAGTTAAAAATAGGAGAGGAGAGTTATTAAATGGAGAGTTAGAGGTATTGGGAAGATGGAGGGAATATTTTGAGGAATTGTTAAATGTTGATGAAGATAGGACTTCCAGCAGGCATGCGCGAGCGTGTTTGATAGGAGTGAATGGAGACAAATGGTTTTTAATACTTGACGTGCTGTTGGAGTGTGAGCAAAGTAACATTTATGAAGGGATTCAGGGAAACCGGCAGGCCGGACTTGAGTCCTGGAGATGGGAAGTACAGTGCCTGCACTCTGAAGGAGGGGTGTTAATGTTGCAGTTTAAAAACTGTAGTGTAAAGCACCTTCTGGCAAGACAGTGATGGAGTGAATGATGGTGAAAGGTTTTCTTTTTCGGGCCACCCTGCCTTGGTGGGAATCGGCCAGTGTGATAATAAAAAAAAAAAATAAAAAAATAAATATAATAATTATTATTTATAACATATATGTTATTAAATACCACTGCCTCACCGCTGAATTATTGTGAAATGTTTTGGGAAAAGCAGGGAGACTAATGTTCACTCCAGCATAAACAAAGCCACACTGACGATGTGTCAACCACTCCCTCGTATTTTTGTACAATTTCCTTCTTCAATTATATCGTATTATTATTATTATATTATTATTATATTATTATTATTATTATTACTAATGTTATTATTAGCAGTAACAGAAATGTTTGATTCTTTGCTGTGTTCAAGACTAAAAAACATGATGTCCCCCGTCCAATTTCCTGTCCGAATTGCCATTCCAATATGCAGTCATGAATGGGTTTACATTATTTATACTGTAGTTTAATAGCAAATAATGAACAAACAAAACACTCACCACACTGAGTGGTGGGAGGGCTGGCTGCCAGTTGCGGGGGTCGGAGGGAGGGTAGTAGGGACTCGCAGTGGTTGGGGAAGTGGTGGAGGCATTGGTGGAGTCTGTGGTATTTAATAACATACATGTTATTAAAGCATAACATGTATATATTTAGTACAATTTACACGTTTTCATGTATTTTATGATTGTTCATGGTTCAACAAGTTAAGGAAGCAGTATTGTATTATATTTCCCTACAATATATTGGGGCACCAAACATTCACGGTTTTTCAACATTCGCGAGGCTCTTGATCCCCTAACCCTCGCGAATGTTGAGGGAGACCTGTATGTACAGGAGAAGAGGTTACTAGCCCCTTGCTCCCGGCATTTTAGTCGCCTCTTACAACACACATGGCTTACGGAGGAAGAATTCTGTTCCACTTTCCCATGGAGGTAAGAGGAAATAAACAAGAACAAGAGCTAGTAAGAAAAATGGAAGAAAACCCAGAGGGGTGTGTATATACATATATGCTTGTACATGTATGTGTAGTGTGACCTAAGTGTAAGTAGAAGTAGCAAGACGTACCTGAAACCTTGCATGTTTATGAGACAGAAAAATGGACACCAGCAATCCTACCATGATGTAAAACAATTACAGGTTTCCGTTTTACACTCACTTGGCAGGACGGTAGTACCTCCCGGGGTGGATGCTGTCTACCAACCTACTACCTAGGAACAATAAATTACAATTCTTATTCTGACATTAATTTAAAAATAAAATTAAGGGAAAGGTAAATATCCAGGTCTGTTGTTAGTCCTGACCAAAATTAAGTCATGGATTCTTGTTCAAATCCATAAAACTCATGCACCATCATTAATTCAACTGCTATCTTGGCAGAAGTATTCAGTCTTAACTCAACAATCATCCAAAATGCAACATCCACACACACACTTTCTTCAGATTTAAGGCATAGTCCCTTCCACCTTTAGAAATCAAGTCTGGCTCACTGGTTTTCCATGAATTTATTCATATATATTACCTTGCTCAAACTCCAATAGCACATCAAGCAATAAAAAACAACTTTACTACACTCACACTGACCTAATACCTTTGCACACTCCTCATGAATGCTCAGGCCCCTAAAACTTAAAACCTTTACTATCCAACCTTATGTCCCATGATTCCTATCCTAGCTTCCTTCCAATCAGCATTTATACACCCACTTAGTCATCCTATTCTGCTACATCTTTAAAATCCTTAACTACATCAGCAACTCCTCCTCTACCCTCTGAATTAACTTTTCTTAATCTGTCCCCACACTATTTTTTTAATTTCTAGTCTGAATTCTCTGCATAATAATTACAATAACTCACTGATCTTCAACCTGACATCTCCATGTCTCTAGCCTCCTTACTGCAACATTAAACCCATTCAATGGTCATTATGTAGAACTACGTCATTGAGGCCAGGGTCCATTGTGTAGTTCTATGTTATAAGCTCAGCTCACTCAGATAAGCTGCAAGTGGTAAATTTTAGACTAGATATAAGAGAATGAGTCTGTGTAGTTAGTGTGCACAGTATAAAAAAATCCTACCCCAAACAGTGCATGATGGGAAAACAAAACTTTGACCACGTGTTTGGTTTCAAATAATCACAGTGACTGTTTTTTCTTGGATGGCTTTTATGGTTTTATTGGCTTTTTCATGGTATCATTTAATAAAATGGAAGACGTACTACTAAAAATGAGATGATTTTGATTGGTGTCAGTACTAAGAGTAGCTTGAAATTGAGCTTGAAGTAGCAGAAATATATGATTTTTGCCCCCCCCCACTTCTTCACTGCTGCCCCCGCTTCCTCACCACTGCTCCCACTTCCTGACCACTGCCCCTGCTTCCTCACTGCTGCCCCCACTTCCTCACCGCTGCCCCCGCCTCCTCACTGCTGCCCCCGCCTCCCTCACCACTGCCCCCGCCTCTCACCATTGCCCCTGCTTCCTCGTCGCTGCACCCGTTTCCTCACCGCTGCCCCCACTTCCTTGTCACTGCCCCCGCTTCCTCGCCGCTGCCCCCGCTTCCTCACTGCTGCCCCCACTTCCTCACCGCTGCTCCCACTTCCTTATCACCACCTCAGGTCATTTCAACTTGCAAAACACAAATAAAGCCAACACAGTTCAAGGAATAAAAGTGAATGAATGAAATGTTTCCTCCATAGTACTGTACTTGTCTCTCCATCTTTGCTTCATCAGCTGTTTTTAATAAAATCACTGACCTTACCTTTTCTGTAACATTGTCTTCAGCATCTAGTGTTGGCAAAGATGTTTTGTGAATTCTGTGCACTATTTTCTTGGTACTGATGTTATATATTCTACAATATCTGGAAAAAAAAAATACACGAATAGCAAAAAAAAAAAATATTCTAACTCTCAGCACATAGATGTACAATGGTAAAGAAGCATTAGACAAATCACAGAAATTTCTATTAAAGATTATTAAAGTTAACAGAATCAGCAGAATGAATGAGGCAAAGATAATGGAAATGTGGATTGTGACAGTGTAATGTAAAAAGATAACTCAAGAATGTTATCAGATCTTAAAGACGTACGAGGGAAGCACGACAATAAAAGAACACTGGGAGATACTGTATGTGCTTGTTATTCAGTACACTTCTCCAGTGGAAAGCAGATAAAATGGAAGCTATGTCTTAGAACACTGAAGTCTCTCATGATGACTAAATTAGGGCTAGACAAAAACATTGTTAAAATGAGATGTGAACTAATCAATATCAAAACAGGATGTAAAAGATAAAGCCTGAAAATTTAGCAGCAGGAGACCCAGCACAAGAATTAGATCCACCAGTGAAGTATTAATGAGATACAATATTAAGTTATTGCACATGTTACTGTACTGGACACAAGTGAAGCTTTATTGTATGACAGAAGCAAAGTTCAGTTGCTTGTACTTTAAAACAAGATACAAGAAGAATAAGGATCTAGCATTGGAAAGTACACCAAAATCAGGAGGTAAAAGAGATAACAAAAATATTGAAAAAACACAAAGGAAAACAAAGAAAAAACAATTCAGTAAATAATATTTATATTATTATATTTACGGGACCACTAAACCCATACGAGTCATAGAGCACCTGGGGAATGAGAGTCAATTCACCTACCTGTCTGAACAAAGAGTAGCAACATACTGTCCCAGAGGGTCCCAAGCTACACCTTGCACAAAGCCTTTGTGGTCACTCAACAAGCAAATATTTCTACCTGGCAAAAAAGCCAAAAGGTCAAACAAATGATCATACATAAATATAATTAAACAAAATTAATATTCTAACAGAAGCAATATGTGTGCATATTTGCAGTAGCAATGTACAAGAAAATACAATAGCAAAGGTGTGGTGATCATCCCAGGAAAGGTCAGAAGGGTAAAGGAAGGAAGTAAAGGAGGTTCAGAGTGTTAGGGGCTGGGACATAAACCCTTTCACTATTCAGACCCCCAAAATTAATATTGGTCTTAGTGTCAACTTAAAAAAATCTTGAATGGTAGAAAATCTTTTTCTAAAAGGCAAAAATACAAAATTTGATGGTAAACTTACAGAATCATGCAAGATTAAAGTTAGTGGTCTCTGCACAATTTATGGATCGGCAATTTCACCCAGAGTCCTACTTTAAGCTAATTCCATTGCTCTGTTCAACCAAATTCTTAGCTATTTTGCTAGTATGCCTTCTGTTCTACAGACTGAACACGGCAAACTGCCCATTCAACTATTTCAGCTACCCTACAAAGTGCACAGATATTTGTAAATGGCCAATTTTACACAAAATTAAAAAAATATCAATTTAAAAATAGTCCAAAATACACAATGTAGATATTCCTGGCACTAAAACAATATTTCCTCTGTTCATTAGTCATGTTCCCAGGCCTCTCCTATATTATATTTGCCTTCCATTTTGAATTCTTAATCACACAAAAACAGAATATTTGCTGTATTTTTTGAGTAAGAAATATAATCAGGAATGATTGGTTAAGGTTTACAGTGTCAAAAGCTTTTAATCAGACATTAAAAAGCCATAAAACAAACTGGGGGTTATAGGGGATCCTTACCCATCCTCAGGAATTTTTTTTTTTTTTTTTTTTTTTTTTTTTTTTTTTTTTTTTTTTTATTATCACACCGGCCGATTCCCACCAAGGCAGGGTGGCCCGAAAAAGAAAAACTTTCACCATCATTCACTCCATCACTGTCTTGCCAGAAGGGTGCTTTACACTACAGTTTTTAAACTGCAACATTAACACCCCCTCCTTCAGAGTGCAGGCACTGTACTTCCCATCTCCAGGACTCAAGTCCGGCCTGCCGGTTTCCCTGAATCCCTTCATAAATGTTACTTTGCTCACACTCCAACAGCACGTCAAGTATTAAAAACCATTTGTCTCCATTCACTCCTATCAAACACGCTCACGCATGCCTGCTGGAAGTCCAAGCCCTTCGCACACAAAACCTCCTTTACCCCCTCCCTCCAACCCTTCCTAGGCCGACCCCTACCCCGCCTTCCTTCCACTACAGACTGATACACTCTTGAAGTCATTCTGTTTCGCTCCATTCTCTCTACATGTCCGAACCACCTCAACAACCCTTCCTCAGCCCTCTGGACAACAGTTTTGGTAATCCCGCACCTCCTCCTAACTTCCAAACTACGAATTCTCTGCATTATATTCACACCACACATTGCCCTCAGACATGACATCTCCACTGCCTCCAGCCTTCTCCTCGCTGCAACATTCATCACCCATGCTTCACACCCATATAAGAGCGTTGGTAAAACTATACTCTCATACATTCCCCTCTTTGCCTCCAAGGACAAAGTTCTTTGTCTCCACAGACTCCTAAGTGCACCACTCACTCTTTTTCCCTCATCAATTCTATGATTCACCTCATCTTTCATAGACCCATCCGCTGACACGTCCACTCCCAAATATCTGAATACGTTCACCTCCTCCATACTCTCTCCCTCCAATCTGATATTCAATCTTTCATCACCTAATCTTTTTGTTATCCTCATAACCTTACTCTTTCCTGTATTCACCTTTAATTTCTTCTTTTTGCACACCCTACCAAATTCATCCACCAATCTCTGCAACTTCTCTTCAGAATCTCCCAAGAGCACAGTGTCATCAGCAAAGAGCAGCTGTGACAACTCCCACTTTGTGTGTGATTCTTTATCTTTTAACTCCACGCCTCTTGCCAAGACCCTCGCATTTACTTCTCTTACAACCCCATCTATAAATATATTAAACAACCACGGTGACATCACACATCCTTGTCTAAGGCCTACTTTTACTGGGAAAAAATTTCCCTCTTTCCTACATACTCTAACTTGAGCCTCACTATCCTCGTAAAAACTCTTCACTGCTTTCAGTAACCTACCTCCTACACCATACACTTGCAACATCTGCCACATTGCCCCCCTATCCACCCTGTCATACGCCTTTTCCAAATCCATAAATGCCACAAAGACCTCTTTAGCCTTATCTAAATACTGTTCACTTATATGTTTCACTGTAAACACCTGGTCCACACACCCCCTACCTTTCCTAAAGCCTCCTTGTTCATCTGCTATCCTATTCTCCGTCTTACTCTTAATTCTTTCAATTATAACTCTACCATACACTTTACCAGGTACACTCAACAGACTTATCCCCCTATAATTTTGCACTCTCTTTTATCCCCTTTGCCTTTATACAAAGGAACTATGCATGCTCTCTGCCAAATCCCTAGGTACCTTACCCTCTTCCATACATTTATTAAATAATTGCACCAACCACTCCAAAACTATATCCCCACCTGCTTTTAACATTTCTATCTTTATCCCATCAATCCCGGCTGCCTTACCCCCTTTCATTTTACCTACTGCCTCACGAACTTCCCCCACACTCACAACTGGCTCTTCCTCACTCCTACAAGATGTTATTCCTCCTTGCCCTATACACGAAATCACAGCTTCCCTATCTTCATCAACATTTAACAATTCCTCAAAATATTCCTTCCATCTTCCCAATACCTCTAACTCTCCATTTAATAACTCTCCTCTCCTATTTTTAACTGACAAATTCATTTGTTCTCTAGGCTTTCTTAACTTGTTAATCTCACTCCAAAACTTTTTCTTATTTTCAACAAAATTTGTTGATAACATCTCACCCACTCTCTCATTTGCTCTCTTTTTACATTGCTTCACCACTCTCTTAACTTCTCTCTTTTTCTCCATATACTCTTCCCTCCTTGCATCACTTCTACTTTGTAAAAACTTCTCATATGCTAACTTTTTCTCCCTTACTACTCTCTTTACATCATCATTCCACCAATCGCTCCTCTTCCCTCCTGCACCCACTTTCCTGTAACCACAAACTTCTGCTGAACACTCTAACACTACATTTTTAAAACCTAACCCCATACCTCTTCGACCCCATTGCCTATGCTCTCATTAGCCCATCTATCCTCCAATAGCTGTTTATATCTTACCCTAACTGCCTCCTCTTTTAGTTTATAAACCTTCACTCTCTCTCTTCCCTGATGCTTCTATTCTCCTTGTATCCCATCTACCTTTTACTCTCAGTGTAGCTACAACTAGAAAGTGATCTGATATATCTGTGCCCCTCTATAAACATGTACATCCTGAAGTCTACTCAACAGTCTTTTATCTACCAATACATAATCCAACAAACTACTGTCATTTCGCCCTACATCATATCGTGTATACTTATTATCCTCTTTTTCTTAAAATATGTATTACCTATAACTAAACCCCTTTCTATACAAAGTTCAATCAAAGGGCTCCCATTTTCATTTACACCTGGCACCCCAAACTTACCTACCACACCCTCTCTAAAAGTTTCTCCTACTTTAGCATTCAAGTCCCCTACCACAATTACTCTCTCACTTGGTTCAAAGGCTCCTATACATTCACTTAACATCTCCCAAAATCTCTCTCTCTCCTCTGCATTCCTCTCTTCTCCAGGTGCATACACGCTTATTATGACCCACTTCTCGCATCCAACCTTTACTTTAATCCACATAATTCTTGAATTTACACATTCATATTCTCTTTTCTCCTTCCATAACTGATCATTTAACATTACTGCTACCCCTTCCTTTGCTCTAACTCTCTCAGATACTCCAGATTTAATCCCATTTATTTCCCCCCACTGAAACTCTCCTACCCCTTCAGCTTTGTTTCGCTTAGGGCCAGGACATCCAACTTCTTTTCATTCATAACATCAGCAATCATCTGTTTCTTGTCATCCGCACTACATCCACGCACATTTAAGCAACCCAGTTTTATAAAGTTTTTCTTCTTCTCTTTTTTAGTAATTGTATACAGGAGAAGGGGTTACTAGCCCATTGCTCCCGCATTTTAGTCGCCTCATACGACACGCATGGCTTACGGAGGAAAGATTCTTTTCCACTTCCCCATGGACAATAGAAGAAATAAAAAAGAACAAGAGCTATTTAGAAAAAGGAGAAAAACCTAGATGTATGTATATATATATATATGCATGTGCGTGTCTGTGAAGTGTGACCAAAGTGTAAGTAGGAGTAGCAAGATATCCCTGTTATCTTAGCGTGTTTATGAGACAGAAAAAGAAACCAGCAATCCTACCATCATGCAAAACAGTTACAGGTTTTTGTTTCACAGTCATCTGGCAGGACGGTAGTACTTCCCTGGGTGGTTGCTGTCTACCAACCTACTACATCCTCAGGAATATTGGCAAAAATTTAATATTTCCACTGCTTTAAGTTCAATTTCAAGTGTACTTCCAGTCCTGAAGCCAATCAAAATCATCTCTATTTCGGTAGTATATCTCTCATTCTATCCAATAATATCAAGAAATAGCCAATGAATCCATAAAAACAATCTGAGAAAACACCTCAAATTTGCCATTTTCAACAATCCACATGATCAGTGCTTTATTTTTCCCATCATATCTAGGTCAAAATTTACAGCTCATAATTATTTGAGTGAGCTGAGCTAATGAGATTGAACTATGTGAGGGAGCCTGGCTTCAATGATGCAGTTCTACACGACTACCGAAAGGGTTATCAGTCTTGTGTGAGCATGTTTAATGACAAGTGTGGAGGCTGGTTTTTTTAATGACTTGATATATGTGGGCAAATAATTTTTATGAAGGGATTCAGATAAACTTTTCAGCGGGACCGAGCCGGGGGCGGGAAAGGGGTAATTCTGCGCCCAAAGGAGTGAGTTCTTTTTAGAGGCATTTAAATCCCTGCAGCACATTCTTGCAAGACAGTTTTGAATGAGTTACGTGAAAGTGTTTCTTATTTGGTCCCCACTTTGGGGGGATACCATTTTAAAAAAAGAAAAAATATTCAAACAACAAAAAAAAACCAAAAAACAGTAAATACATTGGACACGGACAGCTTTTGATACTTGTATTTTGGACACAGTTAAAAGGTAAAAACCCCAAAAGATACTGAAGGTTAAAAAAAATTTTTATATTACCTTTTTCAACATCCCAAATAATGCGTTTGTCTACAGACCGTAATAAGAAACTGGGGGGCACTTTGGACCAGAAATACAAGACACTTCTAAATGGCCTCTAAGCATCTTTGCAACAGTCCAGTACTCTTTGTTCTCCTTTTCTAAATCATCCACAAATATATCAGCATTGCTAGAAGAATCTTGCTTCTTCCACAGGATAACAGCAGATTCTGGAGTGGAGGAAAAGATAATATAAATGAAATACAATATTGTAATAAATGATGATGAAGAACAACTAAGGGAGATAACGTCCTTTCCTTTCCCCTTCAAAATTTCGTGTAAGTGTGTAGATAGGAGGGAATGGAGACGAATGGTTTTCAGGACCTGACAAGCTGTTGGAGTGTGAGCAGGGTAATATTGTGTGAAGGGATTCAGGGAAACCAGTTAGCCAGACTTGAGTCCTGGAAATAGGAAGTACAATGCCTGCACTTGAAAGGAGGGGTCTGGGATATTGGCAGTTTGGAGGGACTTCTAAACTGTCATATCTGAGGGAATACCAAATATGTACAGATGGACTATATTGGCTGATAGGGAAATACAAATGTACTTTGTAATTATAGGACTGAATGTGGTATAAACCTTGGTAATAAATACCGACAAGTTGGTTTAGAAAGACACGTAAGCAAACACTAACATATTTATTAGAAAACGTTTCGGTCCTGGGACCTTGATCACTTCTAACATACAGAGGTAGAAAGACATTATATATATAGGCGGAGAGTGAGATGTGACATTCCTCAGGTCACATGCGTCACATCTCACTCTCCGCCTATATATATAATGTCTTTCTACCTCTGTATGTTATAAGTGATCAAGGTCCCAGGACCGAAACGTTTTCTAATAAATATGTTATAGTGTTTGCTTACGTGTCTTTCTAAACCAACCAACACTGAATGTATACAAGTAAGAAGAGCAATACCTATACCAAGTTTAGAGGCTGTCATACTCACAGCCTCAACCGAACATGTAAACAAACAAAAAATGCTTCTTAATATTAAAACATTATAAGTATATAAAAGTGTAACAAATTTTTTAGTTTACTTATTACTTAACTTTGCAGTATATAGTTATATAATTCATGTTGTAGACGTTTCGCCATCCAGTGGCGTTATCAATACTAAGTCTAGGACATAATTCTGCCCTAGAATTAGTATTGATAAAGCCACTGGATGGTAAAACATCTACAGATGTTGCACATGTCTTAATTTTCATAATTCACCCTATTCCTGTATGGAATAATGGTTACTAAAAACCAGTCAAGATTTTATAGAGAAAGTGAGGGTTGGGTCAGTGTATGTAGGAGAGAGAATATTTCCCCAGTGACACTAGGACAGACAGGTATGCATGATGTTACCATGGATGTTTAACATTTATAGATGAGGTTGCAAAATTAGTAAACACTAGGGCATTGGGAAGGAGTATTGGGACCAAAAGATGTTTCTTTTGAAATAAAGTGTGAATTATCACAGTTGCTCTATGATGATGATAATTCTTTTGGGAGATTCAGAAGACAAATTGGAAAGGTTGGTGAATGAATCTGAGAGGAAATGCATAAGGAAATTAAAAGAGAACACAGATAAGAGCAAAGTGACAAAGTAACAAAAAAGTCTAGGCAATGATAGATTGTAAGGATGGGGCAAAACCAAAATTTTTGCCAATACTGATAATAAATTTTAGGCCAATAATGAAATCAATACCATCAAAATTAGCTGATACCTGTTGATACCTATACAGTGGACCCCCGATTAACGATATTTTTTCATTCCAGAAGTATGTTCAGGTGCCAGTACTGACCGAATTTGTTCCCATAAGGAATATTGTGAAGTAGATTAGTCCATTTCAGACCCCCAAACATACACGTACAAACGCGCTTACATAAATACACTCACATAATTGGTCGCATTGGGAGGTGATCGTTAAGCGGGGGTCCACTGTACTTATACTTTGGCACATGCCTAACAGATTATATATGAGATTGGAGCGAGCATGGAGAAGTGGATATATTTAGACATTTGGAAGTAGACATGTCACTAGAAAGTTATATGAAAGATGAGGCGAGCCAGAGAATCAATGAAGGGAAAAAAAAAATGAGTGATGTGCCGAGACATCTGCAGAAAGAAAAGTTAATTTATGGAGGCAACAAACGGAATGTACTAGAGAATAGTGGTACCAGCACTTTTATATGGGTGTTAAACATGGGTTTTGAACACAGCAGTGAGGAGGTGGCTAGAAACAGTGGAAACGCATTTGAGAATAATGTGTGGTGTGAATATCATGTAGAGAATTCTGAGAGTAGAAATTAAAATGCAAAGTGACAGTCACAATAACAACACCTCCTCAGAGGGCTCAGGAAAGGTTGTTGAGGTGGCTGAGCATTTAACCCGTAAACGGTCCAAGCAGATCTACGTTCACATGTGTAGTGCTACAAAAGTAGATCTACGTTTTTTTTACATACTGTCAAATATAACAAAAAAAAAAGTAGATCAAAGTTTTTTTACACATTTTCAAATGTAAAAAAACAAAAAGATCTACTTTTTTACATACTTTCAAATGTTGAAAAAACGTATATATACATTTGGACCGTTTAAGGGTTAAAAAGAATGGAGAAGAGTAGCTTGACAAAGGTGTATAAATCTGGGGTGAAAGGTAAAAGGAGAAGGGGTTGCCTTAGGAATCGTTGAAGGGAGGGGATAAAAGAGACTGAATTCAGAGGCTTGAGCACCCAGCAAACTTGCATGAGCATGTTAGATAGGAATGAAGACAAGTGGCTTTTAAATGGATGTGCTGTTGGGGTGCAAGCAAAGTAACTTATGAAATGATTCAGGGGGAACACCTCAGTTGGACTTCAGTCCTGGACATGAGATGTGCACCATATCTGAAGTTTGGTTTTCTTCCAACACCTCCACAATTCTGTCATGGTGGTTTAGTAGACGAGACACACATGATCTTCCCGCTCTAAATTCATGCTGGTTTGGATTGTGCAGATTGTACTATTTCATAAAATTTGTGATCTGAAAATACAGTAAAACTGTATTTATACAAATCTGTATAAAAAGAACACATGTATATATATATATGCAACATCCTTACCATCATCAGCCGAGGCCAAAAACTCTCCATCAGGTGAAAACCTGACAGCATTAACTGCACGAGTGTGTCTTGTAAGGTCACTTAGTGCTTCTACACTAACTCCTCCATTGTCCAACAGATGCAACTGCCATATCTGAAAATCAAGAACTTGAAATTAATAGCAATCACTAAATATAAATAATGATATAATACTGAAAGCTAGAACTATAAGGTTGGCCAGTCACGTGTGAGCAAGCAGAATGGATGAATGCATTTGCAATGAGTTACCAAAACAATAATCAATGAATGCATTAAGTGCTGCATCGTGCTCTGCTTACAAACAATAATAAATCCACATTTCCATATTTCTTCTAAAAATGAATGCAAAACACTGTTATAGCAGTGTTGGTTTTAAATCAAATAGCTAAAACCAAACAAAAGACACTACTTCTTTATTTTAATCTATGCCATTTTCTTTAAGAGTGCTTACCCTTCCTCAGGAAAATCATCTAAAATTGAATATTTGTGCTATTTTGAGCCTGATTTCCAGCTGAAACTAACCAAAATTATCTCTATTACTAAATCATATTTTCCATTCTATCAAATGATACCAAGAAACAGCCAATAAACAGCCATAAAAAAAACCATCCTAGTAAACAACCCAAAGTCACTATTTTAAATTAAACATAAGATCGAGAGGTTTGTTTTCCCCATCATGCACTGTGTGGGGTAGGATTTTTTTTATATACTGTGCACACTCACCACAGACTTGTTCTTTCATGTCTAGGCCAAAATTTACTTCTCAGCTTATATGAGGGAGCAGAGCTCAAGCAACCTTGGTGTCAATAGTGCATATCTACATACAAGACAGAAAAAGCCCATGCTTCACACCTATATAAGAGTGTTGATCCACCATTATATATTCATACATTCCCCTTTTTGCCTCCACGGATAATGTTCTTGGTCTCTACACTGTCTCGATGCACCACCCACCTGTCTTCCCTCGTCAATTCTATGGTTTATCTCATCTTCCAAAGAACCATCTGCTGACAAGTCCACTTCCAAATATCTGAACACATTCACTTCTTCCATATTTAGGCTTACTAAATGTCTCATTTTGACTGGGATGGTCAGGTTTGAAAGTCCTGTCCCAAGATCCCGGTCAGTTTGTCATTTTGTCCCGGAGAGAAACATCGCTGATGAACAATGCATGCTCTCAGGAAAGCTGTAGAATGACTGAATCTACAGTAAAAGGGCTAATGTACTGCAAAATAAACATTAAGCTGCAGCAAGCTTTATGAGAAAAAATACACCATTACTAATGATGATTCATTCTAGTGAAAAATATGAATGGTTCTCCAAAGAGTGATTCCATACTTTGTGCTTTTTGTTCTTTTTTATTCTGTAGTCCTTAACTGAGAAATTGCTATATTTTAGCCATTATTTGTTTGCATTAAAAGAAAATAAACCTGCTTTGTACTGCATGTATATGTTTTTTTCAAAACCTTAAAAATGCCCTGGTTCAAGTCAAAGAAATTATGATAAACCTATCCATACTCCCTCTTCCAATCTGATACCCAGTCTTTCAGTACCTTAAAATTCACCTCTTCTACAACCACATCTACACATATGTTAAACAACAATGGTAACATCCTGCATCCTTGTCTAAGGCTTTTACTGGGAAATAATCTCCCTCTCCCCTACATAACCTAACGTAAGTCTCACTACGCTCATAAAAACTCTTAACTGGTAAAAAAAAAAAGTCGGGCAGATTTATATACATGTACACTTGTATATAAAGTAATTAACCCTTTAAGGGTCGGTCACGTACAAGTACGTCATTGCAGCCAGGGTCGGTCACGTACTTGTACGCCTAAATTCTAGCGCCTTCAAATCTGGTGGAAGAAAGCTGGCAGGCCTACATATGAAAGAATGGGTCTGTGTGGTCAGTGTGCGCAGTATAAAAAAAAATCCTGAAGCACGCTGTGCATAATGAGAAAAAAAAAAACTGTTTTTGGTTTATAACAACGACTTTTTAGTGCATTTTTGTATGGTATTTATGGTTGTATTCACGTTTCCTTGGTCTCTTTTGATAGAATGGAAAATATATTACAGAAATAGAGGTGATTGTGATTGGTTTCACAATGACAAGTACTTTGAAATTAAGTTTAAAGTTGCGAAAATGATAGATTTTTGCTGATGTTCAAGAGTAAACAAATCAAGCCACACGTCCAAAATGCGTCAACTGGCGAGTCTAATATTCTTTTACAAGTGCGATTTCACAAGTGCGCTGATATCATTTATACAGTTTTTACAATGATGCAGTAGAATACATAACAGAAAACCTTCTATTTTCTGTGGGAATAATTAAAAATGGAAAGCAAAAGTAATGTAAGAAGGGCCTAGAGAAATGACTAATGAACAGATAAAATGTTATTTTAGTGCCATGAATGTCTGTCTCATTTATTCTGGACCCTATTTCAAAATTGGCATCTTTTGAAATTTGTGTGAAATTGCCCCAATTACCAATTTCTGACCACTTTATTGGGTAGTTGAAATTGGTAAATGGGCAGATTCTTGAACTCAATCGATAGAACAAATGGAGTTCTAGGGAAATAGCTATGATTTTAGTCAACTGCAACATTGGAATTGACCGAAAATAGGGCTCAAAGTGGACGAAATCACCCACTTTGAGACCGCTAACTTTGCAAGAGCATAATTCCGTAAGTTTTTCATTAAATTTCATAGTTTTGGTGTCATTATGATCGAAAAAAGATTCTCTATCATTCCATGAGAAATTTTTTTTTTTTTTCGAAAAATTTTCGACCCTGAGAACAAGTTTGGGAGAGGGCCTCTTAAGAGAGCTAAATTACCTACCACAATGTGCGTATCTGTCCCAGCTGTAGCTAGACGGTAAATTCCATCTTGGGAGTTAGGTTGTATATCTAGGGCCAACACTGGGTCTCTGTTATGCCATGAGATTTCTGGAATGGTACACTTCATTGCTATTTTCTGAAAAGGAAAATACTTTAATTACAGTACTTGGACAAGGGGAAAGGAACTGTTGTTGCATTTATGGATCTAGAAAAGGGGTATAACAAGGTGGCTACAGAAACAATATGGCAGATGTTGCAAAAGTATGGCACTGGCAGTATGTTACTACAAGCAGAAAAGAGCAAAGTATGGTGTATATATTATGCAAAGAATTCAGACTGTAGAAACTAGAAAACTAAGGGGTTATGAAGTTAATTCAGAAGCAATAGGAGAAGTTGTCAATGTATTTTAGGAATCTGAGAGAATGAAGAATAGGATGACAAAGTGGGTAGAAGAAACGAAGGCTATGTGTTGTTCCAGAAAGGGTTTGAAGGCGGAAGTGAATGTGGTTTTAAATGGACGGGGAATGAGCATCCAGCAGGTGTGTATGAAAGCACATTAGATCAGGCAGACTAGGAACTTTTTGATGGAGCACCTCATATTGTATAAATGAGTAGCTAAAAGCAAGATGGGACTACTAGTGATACACAAATCCAAATCTGTAAAGCAGCCAAGCTTGTGGTGATAAGCCAAACTTAACTGGAAAACAGAAGACATATATTTTTATAAACTTTCAAATATATTTGAACACAAATGAAAGGAATAAAAAAAATTTCACCTTGAGAATCACTTGAACTTAGGGTTTTGCCTAGTCCCACCTAATCTTTGAGAAGTGTAAGATCACTCATCAATCTGCCAGTGATTCTAACATGTGCCAGAATAATTAATTAAATTAGATTAAAAAAACAAGTGCTAAAACCATATGGGTCATAGACTACAGTGTAAGAATACATAATTACAAATCTGACTCTCCTCTGCAAAAGTTCTAAACAAAGGTAGCACATTAGTGGTATTGTGACCATCCCACAATTCTTAAAGTACAGTGGTACCTCGGGTTACGAACAGCAAAAAACTCAAACAATTATGTAGGAGTATTACGTAAGTGCTTTTGTAAGTGTATTTTTGGGGGTCTGAAACGGATTAATCTAAATTACATTATTCCTTATGGGAACAAATTCATTCAGTATCAGCACACGAACAGCCTTCTGGAACGAATTAAGTTCGTATGCCAAGGTACCACTGTACCTGGGTTGAACACTTCATAAGGTGGGATATATGGGGAAGTCTGACCCTTCAGGGGAGATGCATCAAGGTTGAAGGGCTTTTGACCCAAGAAACTGGAGCTGCCCTATCCTTCCTTGAATCAACCCTGCTTACCACCCATTTCCCAGGAGCATTTCCTCATAAATAATAAATATAAAAGTAATGGTATCTCTTAAAACCTGTTGCCACAGTCACCTATGACTAAATATATACCTAGAAGTTAACTGATTGTTGTGTGTGGCATGCTGGGGAAGGACAACAATTAAAATAAAGCACAGTTATTGTTAGTTATGTGAGGAGCATTCAACCCACAGGTATAACAGCAATGTGAGAGGCGATCAGTTTCAATCCACAGAAGAAACAGATTTTTAACCCAAAGGATAGCCACCTAGGATAAACCCAGTAAAGTCTACGTCACTGAGGACTGTCTTATTTTCATTGAGGTCCTTAACCTTCTCCCCCAGGATACGACCCACACCAGATGACTAACACCCAGGTACCTACTTACTGCTAGGTGAACAGGGACAGCAGATGTATACCTGGAGGGTACTCCGAGGGTCAATGCCCCAACAGTGTGGTCTATGATGAAGCCTCACGGTGAATCTGAGCCTGATCAACCAGGTTATTGCTGCTGGCCGCATGTAAAGTGATGTATGAAACTTACCCGCATCAAGGAATCTCCCCAGAGGGTAAATAAGCCACACAGCACATCCTTCCTGGGTTATTAACTCTCCCAGGTTATTAACCTATAAATAACATGGTTTCAGCTAAACACTATTAATGGAGGCTACTGAACCTCTCAGTTAGATAAGTTTACTCAGGTACAGCTACACATAAATATAGTTACATAAATTATCATACATAGCAGCATATGTGTAGGTAACCTAGGATAACCCAAAAAAGTCATGACTATTTCCACTGGGATCCTTGATGACAAAACTTTGCATATATTACCTCTCATGTTTACCTTTGGTTAATATATTATATTATAATAAATAAATAAATAAAAAAATATATATATATATTATATATATATATATATAAATTCCATAAATAAATATATACAATGATAACCTAAATAAACTTAAATCAGTGGTAGTAAAACAATTGCAAATAAAAATTAATTATAAATGATTGGTACTGTTTCTTATACAAGATATTACAATGTGTATTGATTTGACTCCACCAGACATGAATAATTATAATTTATTAAATATAATTACGTTAGGTTAATGAGGTTTCTATCATCTACATTATTAAGGCTGGATATAACTTGTTCACCCCAGAGATAAACATTTTAATACCAAAAACCGTACCTTCAATAAAGTTTGGACATATATACACCCATTATTATTATTATTATTATAATCAAAGGGGAGCACTAAACCCGTAGGATTATGCAGCGCCTGTGGGGGGGGCGGGGGATGTGGAGGTTATTCAGGCTCAATTCAGGGAACTGGAGCACAGATCCAATTTGCTAGATCAAGAGCCCCTCACCAGCATCAAGGAACCTTCTTTGAGGGGATATATACACCCAGAAATATACCTCAGTGTATATTCATCCTGTATAAATAACCAGAGTCAAACTGCTACTACTACACCTCCATATAACCAAATATAATAACTTATAGCTCTACCACACATAAATGGCATAATATTAGGTAATATAAGAGTAGATGAGGTTATAAATGACCTGTTATAAGGTAGTAGAGTGACAGTAGTGGTGACACTTGCAGCTTCCCGCCTCTTTCTTCACTAATAATGAACATTAGTCTTGGTTCTTCATTAATATAACTCTCCTCTTATAACAATAACATTAGTCTCCTTAATTGGGGCTAGGAAGTGATGATTACATCTAATTAAGGGTGAAAAATATTGTTGTCGGTGTGTTTTATTGTGTGTAGTTATAATAAATGATATATATTATCTTAGGTGACTTGTTGCTCAGTGGAAGTGTTGTCACATCAGTAAGTTTATTGGGACACCAGTACACATTAGTACAATTATCATACATGGTGTAAATTACCTGGCATAACCTAAAAAAAAGGTCAAAGTGAATTATTTCCATTGGAGTCCTTGTCATTCACGTATAATTACACACTAGTACAATTACACACTAGTACAATTACACACTAGTACAATTACACACTAGTACAATTACACACTAGTATAATTACACACTAGTACAATTACACACTAGTATAATTACACACTAGTACAATTACACACTAGTACAATTACACACAAGTATAATTATACACAAGTACAAGCCAGAAACTGGCTTCTCGAATTCAATCCAGCCAAATGCAAAGTCATGAAGATTGGGGAGGGGCAAAGAAGACCGCAGACAGAGTATAGGCTAGGTGGACAAAGACTACAGACCTCACTCAGGGAGAAAGACCTTGGGGTGACCATAACACCGAGCACATCACCGGAGGCACACATCAACCAAATAACCGCTGCAGCATACGGGCGCCTGGCAAACCTGAGAATAGCGTTCCGATACCTAAATAAGGAATCGTTCAAGACACTGTACACTGTGTATGTTAGGCCCATACTGGAGTATGCAGCACCAGTCTGGAACTCACACCTGATCAAGCACGTCAAGAAGTTAGAGAAAGTACAAGGTTTGCAACAAGGCTAGTACCAGAGCTCAGGGGAATGTCGTACGAGGAAAGGTTGAGGGAAATCGGACTGACGACACTGGAGGACAGAAGGGTCAGGGGAGACATGATAACGACATACAAGATACTGCGGGGAATAGATAAGGTGGACAGATATAGGATGTTCCAGAGAGGGGACACAGAAACAAGGGGTCACAACTGGAAGCTGAAGACTCAGACGAGTCACAGGGACGTTAGGAAGTATTTCTTCAGTCATAGAGTCGTCAGGAAGTGGAATAGCCTAGCAAGTGAAGTAGTGGAGGCAGGAACCATACATAGTTTTAAGAAGAGGTATGACAAAGCTCAGGAAGCAGAGAGGGAGAGGACCTATTAGCAATCAATGAAGAGGCGGGGCCAGGAGCTGAGTCTCGACCCCTGCAACCACAATTAGGCGAGTTCAATTAGGTGAGTACAAGTACAATTACACACTAGTACAATTACATACTAGTACAATTACATACAAGTACAATTACACACTAGTACAATTATATACTAGTACAATTACATACTAGTACAATTACATACTAGTACAATTACACACAAGTACAATTACACACTAGTACAATTATATACTAGTACAATTACATACTAGTACAATTACATACTAGTACAATTACATACTAGTACAATTACATACTAATACAATTACATACTAGTACAATTACACACAAGTACAATTACATACTAGTACAATTATCATGTGCGGTTCGAACACGTGGATTGGGTAAAAATACTCACGTAGGCTGGAAGTACGTATATTGTAACTGAAGTATGTGGAAGGGCGCCACAGCCGAACCTGCCTCTCTCTGCCCCTTGACTAGACTGACTGAGGAGTGCCCATGGGCGAGGGGGCGCTTGAAATCCTGCTAGGTCAGCAACAATATGAATACAGACAGTGACTCAGGCAGAGACGGTTGGTAGTGAGTCATCTACTGGTACACTGGTTACTGGTAACTGGTTACTACTACTGAGACAATTACATACTAGTACAATTACACACAAGTACAATTACATACTAGTACAATTACATACTAGTACAATTACATACTAGTACAATTACATACTAGTACAATTACACACTAGTACAATTACATACTAGTACAATTACATACAGTACAATTACATACTAGTGACATTACATACTAGTACAATTACATACTAGTACAATTACATACTAGTACAATTACACACTAGTACAATTACATACTAGTACAATTACATACTAGTACAATTACATACTAGTACAATTACACACTAGTACAATTACATACTAGTACAATTACATACTAGTACAATTACATACTAGTACAATTACATACTAGTACAATTACATACTAGTACAATTACACACTAGTACAATTACATACTAGTACAATTACATACTAGTACAATTACATACTAGTACAATTACACACAAGTACAATTACATACTAGTACAATTACACACTAGTACAATTACATACTAGTACAATTACATACTAGTACAATTACATACTAGTACAATTACAAACTAGTACAATTACATACTAGTACAATTACATACTAGTACAATTACATACTAGTACAATTACACACTAGTACAATTACATACTAGTACAATTACACACTAGTACAATTACAATACTAGTACAATACATACTAGTACAATTACATACTAGTACAATTACATACTAGTACAATTACATACTAGTACAATTACATACTAGTACAATTACACACTAGTACAATTACACACTAGTACAATTACATACTAGTACAATTACATACTAGTACAATTACATACTAGTACAATTACAAACTAGTACAATTACATACTTAGTACAATTACATACAGTACAATTACATACTAGTACAATTACAAACTAGTACAATTACATACTAGTACAATTACAAACTAGTACATTACATACTAGTACAATTACAAACTAGTACAATTACATACTAGTACAATTACATACTAGTACAATTACATACTAGTACAATTACATACTAGTACAATTACAAACTAGTACAATTACATACTAGTACAATTACAAACTAGTACAATTACATACTAGTACAATTACATACTAGTACAATTACATACTAGTACAATTACATACTAGTACAATTACATACTAGTACAATTACATACTAGTAGAATTACATACTAGTACAATTACAAACTAGTACAATTACATACTAATACAATTACAAACTAGTACAATTACATACTAGTACAATTACAAACTAATACAATTACATACTAGTACCTGGAGTTTACCTGGAGAGAGTTTCGGGGGTCAACGCCCCCGCGGCCCGGTCTGTGACCAGGCCTCCTGGTGGATCAGCGCCTGATCAACCAGGCTGTTGCTGCTGGCTGCACGCAAACCAACGTACGAGCCACAGCCCGGCTGATCAGGAACTGACTTTAGGTGCTTGTCCAGTGCATACTAGTACAATTACACACTAGTACAATTACACACTAATACAATTACACACAAGTACAATCACACAAGTTTTAGGTGATTACAATTATCTTACATAATAACATGTATACAGATTACCTAGAATAACTCCCCAAAACACTCAAGGTGGATTATATCCATGGTGGTGCTTGTAATACGCCATTTATAGGTCCTAACTAACATTGCTAACAGTGTAAATCAATCTTGGTTATAAACATTACAATGAGCTAAGTAAATCACGTGCATTAAATCATTTGGGTTAGAGCACAGGAGCTGTGAACCGACCCCCTGCAACTACATATAGGTAAGTACAAGTATCTTGAGTCAATGGGTGAGTGATTGAAAAGGTGATTGAATGGGTGAGTGATTGAATAGGTGAATGATTGAATTGGTGATTTGAATAGGTGAGTGAACGGCTGAGTAATTGAATGGGTGAGTCATTGAGTGGATGAGTTATTGATTGGGCGAGTGATTGAATAGGTGAATGATTGAATAGGTGAGTGATTGAATGGGTGAGTGATTTTTGATGTCCACTCATAACTTTATTTATTATTTAAAACGTTTCCTACTACTTTTTAAATCATAAAGTCTTTGATAAAGTCCTCTAAATCAATCTGGCATGAAAAATCTTCTTTCATATTTATCAGAGATAAAACATCCAGCTTGTCTTGGTACATAGTTGTTGGTATTTTTAATATGTCTGAGCTGAGAAAATGAACGCTGAGTTGTGCAGTTTGTGACCATTAATGTTAAAAAGTACGAGCAAGGCAATATTTACATTTGGAAACCCGGCCCAAGTTTGTCTTCTGAGATTAATTGATCTTCATTTCAGCATGACTGAATCTGGTTTTAACAATTTATATTGTGTCACAATTTATGGCATATAGACGAGTTAAATTGCTTAAGTCGCCATTTTGAAGAGCTTGACTTGCGCTATGATTTTTTTTTTCAGAATTTCATCCCACATGATAAACAAAAACAGACTCAAGTTTAAGATTAAGACACATGTGCAACAGTTGGGTATCTTTATTGATGAAATGTTTCGCCTACACAGTAGACTTCTTCAGTCAAATACAAATGCAGCAGCAGAAATGAAGTTGATGTAATCAGTCCATCAACTTTGGAGGAAAATAAATATTTGAGGTCGGTCCCTGAGCTTGGAGAAGTTCAGCTCCATGGTCTGCAACAATATGAAGACTGATATCGTGAATAGGGACATCAAATGTGTTAAGGAAACACACCACAATGTTTCCACCCATACCAGGGATCGAATCACGGACTTCAATGTGTGAGCTGAGTGCGCTACCAACCCAGCTACGAGTTCACGTACAGCCAGTAGTAACAGCTTGGTTAATCAGGCCCTGTTCCATCCCGAGGCTTAGTCATGGACCGGACTGTGGGGCGTTGACCCCAGGAACACCCTCCAGGTCAACTGAGGCACTCATGGCTGATACTTGTGCTGAAGAAGACTCACCGTACTCTTGTTATAGGGCTGCCCCTGCCATATACTCTTGTTATAGGGCTGCCCCTGCCATATACTCTTGTTATAGAGCTGCCCCTGCCATATACTCTTGTTATAGAGCTGCCCCTGCCATATACTCTTGTTATAGGGCTGCCCCTGCCATATACTCTTTGTATAGAGGCTGCCCCTGCCATATACTCTTGTTATAGAGCTGCCCCTGCCATATACTCTTGTTATAGAGC